TCTGGACACTTCTCTTTAGCAAGATTTCCAGGGGCCTAGGAGAGACGCGTGTGAAAAGCACAGGGCCGGTGGTGGGGACACTGCCATTGTTCCTTTGATAGAGGAAGATATACAAGCTTGTTGAAACAGAAAGCAACCAACAGTTCAGAGAAAGTGTTGGGCAGGGCCCCTGCGCTCTCCTCAGCCTGACTTCAGAGACTGAGGATATGAGATGATTGCAATGTTTGTGTTATTGCAGGTACTAGAGTACGAGGAGCAGAGCCATTTATTTGGGGATTAAGTAGCTCCTCAAAAGAAAATCAATAAAGTTCACAAGGAAAAGGCTGAATGTCTTACACTGTAGCATTGAGTAGAAATCAGGGTAGGCCAGATGGGCTTGCAGCCAGACTTCCCTCCTCCATCAAGGATGGCTTCCTATATTTTATACTTTGTTCCTCCCCAAGCTACATTCGCCTTGGGCCAGACAGCTGAAGGACACAGTGACAAAAGATCACAAAACCAGACTTCATGTTAGTGTGAGTCGGCTCTGAGTGCTTCACATGGCCACCATCCTCTCTGCAAGCCTCAGTCACTCTCCTCATTCCTGTTGCCATCATCTGCCTGCAGCCGTGCTGACCCAAAAGCAGAGCCAGAGCCAGTTTCTCAAGTGATCACACCTCTCCAGTCAGCCTCTAAGATCTCAAACTTAGGTGGCCTGATTTTGAGAACAGTCTGTGCTTCATCACCCTTTCTGCCGTGAGTTTTCAAGTCTTCTAACTGAATGCCTTCCCTCCTCTTCCTCTGGATACCAGTGGTGAATAGGCCAGCCCTCTTTGCTCACAGTAGCAGCCAATGCTTCCAGATGCTCAATGTATTTATTCTACTAGGGTTTTCTGGCCTACCAGAAAAATTCTCAGATTCTCAAAGAGGGCCCACTGTGTGTGAGGCACCTGGGTACTCTCTGTTTCAGATCTGCTTTAGTCTTCTGCCATCCATTTCGTGGCTCCTCTTTCTACCTTCTATTTTTCAATTGCTGAGAAATTATTTGTATTGAGTGCTGAGTTAATTTAAAATTTTATAAATACTAGTAAGTACAAACTATTATAACCTGGTGAGCACCTGTGAACCCACCACCAGGTGAAGACAAATCACATTACCATCACTCCAGGGTCCCTACCTATCCCACCCTAAATCCTTTTTCTCTGACCTCCAAGGCAAACACTCTGCTGAAATTTGTATTTATCATTCACTGGCATTTCTGGATACATTTTCTACATATGTTTGATCTACATGTTGCTTAGCTTGGTTTATTTTTAAACTTCTATCAATTGAGTCATAGAGACAGACAATATTTTGTTTTTATTTTTGTTTTCTTGGTCAGTCATGGGGCTTGAAATCAAAGCCTGGGCACTGTCCCTGAGCTGTTTTGCTCAAGGCTAGTGCTCTACCACTTTCAGCCACAGCTCCACTTCAGATTTTCTGGTGGTTAATTGGAGGTAAGAGTCTCACAGACCTTCCTGGCTGGGCGGGCTGGCTTTGAACTACTACCCTCAGATCTCAGCCTGCTGATTAGCTAGGATTACAGGCATGAGCCGCAGGTACCCAGATTAATATTAAATTCCTCCTCCTC